GGGGGGTGTGGGGTTGGATGGGGGAGAAGTGGGTAGGGTGGGATGGAGAGAGTGTTGGGTGTGCAGTAGGATGGAGAAGAGGAGGGTTGGGGGGCAGGATCCTGGGAGGGACTGTGGGGGACAGGATACCTGGAGGAATGGGATGGGGTAGGATTGGGTAGGGCCCTGGGAAGGGTGTGCTGGCGTCCCCAGCGACTCCTAGGGCCTGGCTTCATGTTTAAGTCACTGTGTCTTTCACTTGCCTCACAGCGGAGATTAAGATCTGCTTCAAGTACTACCATGGCATCAGCGGCGCCTTGCGAGCCACGACACCTTGCATCACCGTGAAGAACCCTGCGGTGCTGGTGAGTGGCCTCCCTCCACCACCAGGTGGGGAGAGGCTGGGGGGGGAAACTGAGTGAGGGAAACGTGTGGCAGTATGGGTCCTGTTTAGCTAGCCATCGCGGATGTGGCTGGTAGCATGGAAAACATGACTATGAAGGCCATCCAGGGACAGTCAGCTCTCAAGTGACCTGTGCACAGTCGAGCAGCACTGCTCCACATGGAAGGTGTCCGCGTGGCCTGGGTGGCTGGAGGGTGGCAGGTGGTATGTGGCATCTTATGGGAATGCAGGCCATTTAGGTCGTGGGTGATTCTGCCTGCCCAGCACCTCAGGGAGCTTTTATCCCACAGAGAGCGTGTGGGAGTCACACACGCACTGTCTCCTCGGTGTCGTCGGTGCTGATCTTTCCCCTGAAGGTGCTGCACGCATTTTTGACAAAACATGACCACTCGGTGGATGTAGCTTCTTTACCAGGCCTCCGCTGAAGAAAGAGATGGCTAATGCACTTGAGGAGGCTGGTTGCCTGGGTTTATTTATTTATTTTTAATAAATAGGGTCTCACTCCGTCGCCCAGGCTGGAGTGCAGTGGCGTAATCACAGCTTACCACAGCGTCAGCCTCCTGGACTCAGGAGATCTTCCTGGCTCAGCCTCCTGAGTAGCTGAGACTGAAGTTGCATGCCACTGCACCTGGCTAATGTCTTTATTTTTCAGTTTTGCAGAGATGAAGTCCCGGTATATTGTCCAGGCTGATCTCAAATTCCTGGCCTCAAAGGACCCTCGCCCCTCGGCCTCCCAACGTGCTGGGATGACAGGCATGAGCCACCACACCCAGCCCCGCCTCAGACTTTGAAAGAAAGCGTGTCCATTTCTAGCACGGCATTTCCCAAAGATTGCCTTTCCCAGTTTTGTGACTTGTTTTCACGCAGTAGAGCAACCTGAGGCTCTGGCAGTCCCGCCGTGGGTGCCTCCATCACACAAGGGAGGCTGGATCCGGGCGGCTGGAGGTGTTTGCGTCTGAGATATGTGCTTAGCTACAGTTTTCACCAGTCGTTCATGAAAGCGAGGCCGTGAAAGCACGACAAATGAACTCCCTGAATGTAGACTGTCTACTGCACTGTGTGTGGGAAGGTGTACATACACTTACAGGTGCCTGCAGTCTTGGAAATAAACAGGGAGTTAGGTTGAACCAGAAAGCAGCCTCTGCAGACAGCACCGTAGAACGTCCAGACCTGCCCATGCTGCCCCCGGCGGTGCCCGTGCCTCTGCCTCAAGCTGTCTTGCCCTTTCTTGTCCACTCCTACAAGCGTTCACTAGATGTCTGCTGAGTGCCTGGCCCTTGCCACCCCCAGAGATGGAATGGCACATCCTCCATCTCATTGGTGGGGGAGAGACATCAACTGATTTATGTTCTGCTTACCTGAGTGGTAGTTGTGAGGGGAGCTGAGCAGGGCTGAGATACACAGCAAAGACTGGGCTTGCTCGGGAGGGTCCTGAAAGGCTTCCTGAAGAAACCCTGTCAGAGGGATAGTCTGAAGGATGGATGAGTTATGCAGGTGAAGGGGGAGGAAAGAGCACTTCAGGCAGAGGGAACAGTATGTGCAAAATTCCCAACATCCAAATGTGCTACTCACATTAGAATTATATTTGAGCTCCCACTGTAACAAACATGGTAAAGAATATGAAAGAACAGCCCACACTTACTATATAAGACTTTGAAGGTTCTGAAGAGACTAACAATATCTTCCGTGTCAGGCCAGTCACAGTGACTCACATCTGTAATACTAGCACTTTGGGAGGTCAAAGCAGGATGACTGCTTGAGGCTAGGAGTTTGAAATCAGCCTGGGCAACTTAGTGAGACCCTGCTTCTACAAAAATGAAAAAAATTAGCTAGGTGTAGTGGAGCATGTTTGTAGTCCTAGCTACTTAGAAGCCTGAGGTGGGAGAATTGCTTGAGCCTAGGAGTCCAAGGCTACAGTGAGCTGTGATTGTGTCACTGTACTACAGCCTATGTGACAGAGCAAGACCCTGTCTCTATTAAAAAAAGAAAAATCTGCCATGTCTCATAGTAAGCACCAGAACAAACTTTGCTCAGATTAAAATTCTAAAAAGAAAAGTTACAAAACTAGAAGAGAGAGGTCACTTACAAGAAAACCTTTGAGAAAATCATTTGTGATGAAATTAAACAGTGGCTTCTAAATGTTAATCACATCCTTTCTGGATTCAGATTTTTTTTTTTTTAGACCTGAGCAATATCATTATCCAGATATCACTGAAGGCAGTGGACGTTTACATTCTGGTGAACAGCTGATTTTATTCCATTGATTTTGTGTTGTGATGACTCTGTGCCTGTGCGTAGTCTGGAGATAATTAATTTGCTTCAAACAGGTCTCAGAGCACCTTACAAGCTTCGGAGATACAACACTGGCAATCAAATAGCTTACGAATGAAATTAGTGGTTAGTTGAATTCTGACCATATTTGAGACAGTTTTATCTGTATCCACAGTTGGAAGGCTGTGCCACGCAGGCCCCACATTTGAGGGTTGGGCTTGTATTTCTGTAATAGCGTGTTGGCCCTTGAGTCGTCTGATGTGTGCTCAGTCATTGTGACTGGTTAGCAACACTAATGCACCTGAAGCCCACTCAGCAGGGTCACACCATACCCAGGCCCAGAAGAAGTCCCTGAGGACCTCCCAGGGAAAGGAGCAGGGGGCATCCTGACCCACGGTTGATCTTCACACATGCCCTTTGCAGTGAACCCAAGGTGAAAGCACCAAGTCTTCTCCACTGTTGGTGTCTTGATGTTGTTGTCCCTCATCAGAGCACAAAGGTATATGTGCTTCAGACACATGGGACAGAAAATTCTGCACTCTGGGGACAACTGGAGGTGCCAACCTCTCCCCTGACATGTATTGCTCAGGGTGGTTGGCACTGCCACTCTGGGCATTCCCCAAATGCTCTGGGTGAGTGTGTCTTAAGAGACTCTCTCCAGACCTGGAACACAGAGGACTTACAAGGTTGCCGGTGTCCCTGGGTCTGGTGTGAGGCTCTGCTCTCCCTGGCACTCTCTGGGCAAGTGTGTATAAGAGCCTCTCTCCAGACACAAAACACAGAGGGCTCATGGTCACCAACGTCCCTGCATCTGGTGGGGAGCTCTGGTCTCCTTGGATCTTTGTAATAAATGACAGAGTCGAGTTCTTTGAACATATTTTCAGATGGGCATGTTGCCAGAGTCATTGTGCAGGACACCATTTTTCTCTGATGAGTCTTTTGCCAGATGGTGAATTCCTTCTAGAAAATGAGCATGAGAGGGCCTTTTGGGTTTTTCTCGTAATTTCGTGTAGTATCTTAAGTAGGTTTTAAATGAAGACAGGCTGAGTCTCTCAGTCTTCTTGAACTCGCTTTGCACAGCAGCCACCATCCGGTAGGGTGTGGCTCACTTGAGGCCAGGCAGGGTGGTCCCTTTGAGGGGAGGCCGAGGTTTCCTGGTGCCTCCCTGTACCCAGCACAGAAGTAGGGGCTGACCACACTGACTGTGCATCTCATCTGTGGCCTGGAATCATGTGTGGTTCTAGTGGGATGAGATGGTCAACCCACCAGTTGTCTGGCCTGTTACTACTGCCTCTGTCCCTGCTGCCTGGTACTATTGAGTTGGAGGAGGACAAGGACGACAGTACAGCATAGTAAGACATACCTGCCTGTTGAAAGCCAACTGATCCAGGGGTCAAATGTAGCTGTGAGGAAATCAAGGTCCCTCAGTGTGCCCTAGTCCACTGCAGTGACTCGAAGCATGGGAGGTGCAGTTAAGTGCACCATGACATAGTCTCAACTTCAGTGTAGGCATTATCAGGAAATGAGTAGAAATCCATATTCCAAAATACAAATGGAGTGTCTCACATTGCTAGAAATAGTTATTATCTCCTGGTTACTGTTATTGCTTCCTGGTGGTGTATGATTTTTACAGGAGCGTGGGGGGCACAGCAAAGGTCAGGTGGAGGATGAGTCAGAGGAAACCCCGGGGTACAGTGACAGGTGGATGAGGGGTCAGAGGAAGCCTAGGGGACAGTGGCAGGAGGGGAGGGGTCAGAGGAGGGAAGCCTGGGAGATAGTGGCAGGGGGGAGGGGTCAGAGGAAGCCTGGACAGACAGGAAGGAGGGAGGGGTTAGAGGAAGCCTAAGGGACAATGGCAGGAGGGGAGATGTCAGAGGAGGGAAGGCTATGGTGACAGTGACGTCCACATGAGAGCAGACTCTAGTCATGGACTGCTGGATCAGCGACAGAAGTCTTGATTTAGAGCTGGCTCCATCCCAAATATCAGGCAGGACCATGGAGATTTACCTCAAGGAGCAGGGCATGGGGGTAGTGTGGGAACCACCTGGAGGCTTGGGGGTTCGAGCTCATGGACCTCACAGGATTCCTGCTGAAGCAGGCCGAGATGACCAACATCCCTGGGGTGGGATGGGGAATCTGCTGATCGTGAGGATGACCCATGGTGGGGGTTCTTTCTAAGCCAGCTCTGCAGGTTTTGCTAAACTAGCCTCTGGAAGGTGGACAGGGATACCAAGGTTGGGTCCATTGAGCAGATGGCTCAGAAGAGCCGGGCCCTGGTTTGGTCAAGGACAGACTCCTCATCTGAAGAGTTTGATCTAAACTTTAGAATTAAAATGTGATTTTTATTTTCTGGCTATTCTGTATTCAATTGTCTCTGACAGTATTGTAGACCTCTTTTTCATAGTATCATGAAGGTTTTTCTTCCTTCTGTACCATAAGTTGCGCACTAATTGTACATAAATTGAAAGAAAGGTATAAATTTGCTTTGTGGTCTATAAATTGCTGGTTTCATGTTAGATATAACTTACTCAACAGTTTTTAGGAAGAAGTTTCCAGCACAGTAGCACATTCCTGTTATTGCTAATTATACTGGCACGTGTTTGGTGCCCATAGCCAACAGGACAGGAGCCTGCAAGGGAGCCAGGATGCCACATAGACACCCGGAATATTTGGTGAAAGAGGATAATTCTGTGTGTATGGATAGTCAGATCTCAATCAACTGTTTCATTTAGTCTTAGTTTTCCTAATAAATCCAGTGGAAGTTGATGTTTGTTTTCTAACTAAAGGAAATATTTGAGATAGTAATAGTAATATACACATTCCTACCTATCAACACTAATCTTATCAAGAAGAAGGGACGTAAGGCAAGTTGATTCATCTTCTAGAGAATTTCAGAGTTTCTATTTGTTTAATTTGGGGTGAAGACTGAGTTTCAGCAGGCCAGTGTCTCTTGCCTCTGTTCCGGAGGCTTGAGAAGGGAGGCATGTGCTGCCTTACGAAAACCACTGTGTGTGGAAACCTGGTGGTCCTGTGGAAGTGTCAGGGGAGTGTGCTCCTTCCAGGCTTCAGACCATGCTTTTCTCTGCAGATGGGAGCTGAAGGCATGGAAGGAGGGGCTCCTGGGAACCTGCATTCTCGCAAGCTCGTCAACTTCACGCTGTCAGGTAAGGACGTGCCTACATGTGACATCCACTCTTGAAAGCATCTCATTTTAAAGGTGCATGTGGTCGCTTCTTCCTGCAGCCTTTTGTATATGATATGTGAACTAGTTTAGGGTTTTTGGTCATATTTCTGAAGATTCAAGTATATCTTTTACCATAATACAATTAGATTATGAATACAAATTCAGAATGTACTTTTTCTACCAAGTTTTCGAGTGATAAAAAGACAGTAAAAGAAAGACTTAAAGAAAAATTGTAACAGAACATGTGCTAATCCTGAGGAGCATTGACTGAAAACAATTTATGCTTGCTTCAGCTGGAGAAAGGAAACATTTGAAGACTGGCAGGGAAAGCCAAGGTGCCCTTCTTTTTCTGTGGAGGAATACACATAACAGTTGGAAAGTGGATTGGTCTTTTGTTATTATTATTATTTTTTGCTTGTTTTATGTTCCATAACATATTCGAATTCCTTGTGTGTTTATCATACAGTTAAAGCAATGCCTTTCAGGGTGTGAGTTTTTAAGTTTACTTTAGTTGAAACCAGTAACTTAAAAAAATCAAAATTTACCTCCAAAGGGATTTTTTAAAAATAAAACATCACTTTCTATAAACTGAAAATGTTCACACCCAAAAATATGCATACCTCTATACATGTGTACTGGGCTGCAGTGTAAAATGTATGTCCTATGCAGGTCACTACCAAAAACATGGGAAAGCCACTGATTTTTAAAAAATGAATTGGCATCGTAAAGTCAAGAATACTCTAAGAAAGTCATATTTGCAATGGATTTTAAGACAGACCTACCACAACGCTTACAAAGGAAAGTCTAGCAGAGGTCTGCCACTGTGAGAGGCCTCATTTTAATTTTCCTGTGGGTATGGGCTTCTAAAATTTAAATTATGCCCACTTTCCTTGTCTGCAAAAAAATGTCTCGAGTGAAAACAGATGTCCCTGAGAGTGAGAGGTAGAAGGCCGCATCTTGAAGCAGATCCTTCCCCGTGCCCAGTCACCACGTGGGACAGTGTACACATTGGCTTGTTGTTGGCTGTGGCATTCTGAGTGTCTGTGTTTGGTTCCACATGTTCCCTCCTCCAAGGAAAGAGTCTCTGGTGAATTTCAGGGGTTGTGCTCTGGTGACTTATGGATCAAATTTGGTCAATAAATATTGGAACCACAAGGTTTTAAAAATATCTGGGGTTTTTTTTTCTGTTTGTTTTTTTTTTGGTTTTTTTGAGTTGGAGTCTCACTCTGTCGCCCAGACTGGAGTGCAGTGGCCGCTCCCGGCCACCGCAGCCTTGACCTGCTGAGCTCTGGCGATCCTTCCGCTTCAGCCTTCCGAGTAGCTGGAACTACAGGCGTGCGCTACCACGCCCGGCTGATTTTTTGATTTATTGTAGAGATGAGGTCTCGCTGCCCAGCGGGTCTCGAACCCGCGGGCTCAGGCAATCCACTCACCTCAGCCTCCCAAAGGCGCGGAATTACAGGCTGAGCCACCAAGCCCGGCATATCTGGCTTTTAATAAAGGCACTGACCGTACCACTGCCTGTGGGACTGCTTTCAGATCCCTTTATTTATCTCTTCCCCAAAACGTTTGGCTACCACGTGTGCTGTCGACTTTCACACATTGAGGTCCTAGGGACAGGTAGGGGACAGTTAGGCAATTGCGGCTCAGAAAGTTGAGAGCAAGACCATGCCATGGGCTTCTTGTTTTTGCTTTTTTTTTTTTTTTTTTTTTTTGAGTTGGGGATCTTACTCTGTCGCCTAGGCTGGAGTGCAGTGACATGATCACAACTCACTGCAGCCTCGGCCTCCTGGGCTCAGGTGATCCTCCCACCTCAGCCTCCCTAGTAACTAGGACTACAGGCATTCAATACCATAGCCAGCTAATTTTTTGATTTTTTGTAGAAATGAGGTATTGTTATGTGACCCAGGCTGATGTTGAACTCCTGGGCTCAAGCAGTCCTCCCACCTCAGCCCTCAAAGTTCTGGGATTGCAAGTAGAAGACAGCACACCTGGCCTTGCTTTAGCTCTTTTAATTGCCAGATTGTTGTTGCATAAATGTGTGGTACACAGCACAATGATTTGATGTATGCCATAGTTTCTTAGTTTACAATTGTTGTCCTGTACTTCCAAGTGGTCTGTGTCATGCTAAACAAGATACTCACATGTGGGTGACTGCAGAGGGGATATTGTCAGCTTGCTAGGGGAGGAGGACTATTTGGAAGTTAAACATCCCAGGGTGTTTCCTAAAAAGCAGGAAATCAACTCTAGAACACAGCCAGATGCTTCTATGAACCCTGCTCCCCACTCCCACCTCCAGACACAGGGAGGCTGGCTGCCTGACCTCTGTTTTCTGTCGTACCATGTAGCCAAATACCATGGAGAGTACACAAGGATGGCTGGGAGGCTAAACCAGTTCTGGAATGTAGTTCTTGGAAACAAATCTGGTTGCATAGTATTGACAAAGAATGACAAACAGTGTTTGTCTGAGAACACTGAAAGCACTGTAGAGTGGCTGCCTGCACATGTCTTGCTCTTGGCTACCCATGGAAATGTAGAGACACAATTGAACTCTAGAGCCATAATAAAAGTAAAAGTATTGGTTAATATTTTAAACCTCCTCCAAATAAGGCTTTGCTTGGGATTTTAACTTGTCGAGCCTTTGTGATTTTGAGTCCTTCTTAGGCCTATTATGTGGTATGAATAGTTATGAGCAATAAAATGTGTAAAAGACAGAGAAGAGCAGAAATGAGATGGGTAAAGGGACCTGAATAATCAGGTTAAAAATAATTAACCTGGTAGGTTATTAAGGCAGATACGTTTGTGCAGCATCTCACTGTGGGAAAGTCTGGGGTCAGGACTGTTTACCACACACTCTTCCACCACAGCAGCTGGTTCTCCTGGTGCTTCTTGTTCAAAGGAGCATTTTCTTTCATGACTGAGCCTGTCAGACTCTGTGGCACCTGCTCCTGTCCACATTACTCTGAGTTTATGGCAGGAAATCCCTGTCCTGGGAGTAGACTGCATGTCTAAAGAACACCATCCTCTGTCTTTGAGTTCGATGGGAGCATAACCAAGAAAGGTAGGAAAATAAATGTGCAAATTGTACTCTCCTCTCCAAGCTACTCTGTGCTAATAAGCCCAAGTGGAAACATGCAGCATGATTAAATGGGCAGTGAAATGCACACTTTATGTGTGATATCGCCTGTGTGTTTGTAGTGTGTCAGGTACAGGGACACAGGGCTGAGACTGCGTGGCTTCTCTGAAGGGCTGTCTAGCTCTCTGCCCATCCCCACCTTCTCCCACTGCTCTTGGAGGGAAGACCTTGCTGTGAATTGCATGCAGCATTCTTAACATCAGAGCCTCTTGGTACAATTCTCATGTGTTTGTCAATACTTTAAACTACCCTCTACTGCTGATTCTGTGTCATTAGACATTTCTGGGCCATTTTCATTCCATGTATCTGGGCAATGAGTTCCTAGGGACTGTTGGTGTGTCCCCTCCAGGGATGGTTATGAGGGCCATCTCAGGCTAATGTTTTTTCCTTCCAAGAAAGACCTTCTGTTTCAGGAATGAGCTTTTGTGGGATGACCTTGGTGGCCTCCTATAATTTACAGTCACTTCATGGAGTCTGTTTCCAGCTACTCTGGAGACCTCCCTGGACTGAAGTTTCAGCATTTTTTCAGGGTTGCTTAATTCCCAGGCTCACCTTACTCAAACCAATAATCTTGGAATGATGCTGAGAGCTTGGTGAAACCAGCTTGGTTTGCCACCAGCTTTGTGCCTTGGCCTGAGCACTTAAAAACTGTCTGTCCCCTCACTGAATGGACTTTTGCTAGGTCTTTCTGCAGTGTATGTAGTGTGAAGCAATGTGTCATCTAAGGTAAGTTATAGTATGTTCATCAGATATTTTGGTTACTTACAAGCTACTTAAGATTTTTTTCCCTTGACAGTCCCCACATTTGTGGCATAGAGAAGACATTTAAAATGCAGTACACATGGATGTGTGCTCTGAAGTTTCATCTCTAATTAAACTTAGTCCAAACTCATTCTTATATATATGTGGAAGTTCATTTTTCTCTCCCTAAGGAATGTGTTTCCAGTGTACTGTTCACTAAGGATTTCTCTTGAGACATTGTCTGAACTTCCGGTTGCTGACTCCTTGCCCTGGAAGAGAGGGTGGAGAGGCACCTGCTGGAATTGGAGGGTTCCCAGGAACAGATGGGCAAGGATGTGAGGTCAGGGCAAAGGTCTGACTTCACTTTTGCAGCCACGAGAGACCCTTTGCTGAATCACTGCCACGATCCTTGTCTTCATGTGTCTATGAGATCCTTGTGTGAATGACTTTGCAATCGTGTTACTGAATCATTTCTGTTCAGAGTGTCCTGTGTGTTTATTTAAGAGTAAATTGTCTTGGAGCTGCTTGTTCTAATCAGGATTTATGGATCCTCCTTTCCTCCCCTGTCCTTCCTTCCCTCCCTCCCTCTCTGTTTTTGTCCCTCCCTCCTTCTCTTTCTTTAAAGATCTTAGGGCAGTTGGGCTAAAGAAAGGCATGTTCTTCAATCCCGACCCTTACCTTAAGATGTCCATTCAGCCAGGGAAGAAGAGCAGCTTCCCCACCTGTGCCCACCATGGGCAAGAGCGGAGGTCCACCATCATCAGCAACACCACCAACCCTATCTGGCACCGAGAGGTAAGATGCCCCAGGTCTTCCATATGACTAATGGGAAGTCAGCCAGCTATCTTCTCTCTTTCCCCAACTGTGTGTTCCCGAGCTGTTGCTGGGTGTGGGTGGGATAGCAGAGGTGTCTGGGGTTCTTCTGGGAAGAAGGTGCCCTGAGGATGAGTTCTTCCCGTCTCTCCAGAGCCAGGTCTGGCGAGACAGGTAAGGTGCTCACCTCAAAGGCACAACTTAAGCAGCTGTCAAAAAACCAAGTGATCAAAATAAGTACCTTATTTCTCAAAGAGCAAAAGGTAGATTTACCATTCAATCCAGCAGTCCCACTACTCTGGGTATCTATCAAAAGGAACATAAGTCACTCTACCAAAAAGACACCTGCACTCATGGATTTATAATAGCACTATTCACAATAGTGAAAACATGGAACCAACACAGGTGACCATCCATGGTGGACTGGATTTTTTAAAAATGTGGTACACAAGTACCATGAAACATTATGCCTTTAAAAAGAACAAAATCATGTCCTTTGCAGCAACATGGATGCAGGTGGAGACCATCATTCTAAGTGAATTATCACACAAACAGAAAACCGAATACCACACGAGCACAGAATCCACACGGGCATATGGATGGGAACAACAGACACTGGGGACTCCTAAAAGGAGGAGGAGGGTAAGGGAGGGAAGTGGGAAAGGGTTTAAAAGCCACTTGGGTGATGGGCTCAGTAGAAGCCCAAACCTCACCATGCAATATACTCATGAAACAAACCTGCACATGCACCCTTTGAATCTAAAAAAAAATAGTAATTCAAAGCAAATAAATAAATAAATATCTTAATGCAAAATTTTTTAATCAAAATTCATGCAAAAAACTCACAAGGAGCAAAATATCATCATTTTAAGTAAGGGCAGGAGATGAGCAGCCCTGCCTTGCAGAAGCATGGTGAAGCCTGAGGCAAAAGGAAAAATCAGTCACATGGATCCTGTTTTTACTTAAAAGGGTGACATTTTGTTCTAGTGTATATTTGATATGAGTTAAAGGAGTTTTCTCTCTCGATGGTCTTTGGCAGGTGTCTTATGCATTTGCAGACATTTGTTCACGAGACGAGCCATATCAGGAGGTGTCTGTCACCCTGCGTGAAGCCAGATTGTGTTGAGGGTGTTCTAGTCATCCTGCCAGCTGTGTCATGCCACCAGTCATCCCAGTGCACCAGACCGGTGGAGTCAGCAATGGGTTTCCCCACCATAACTCTGGATGTTCACAGAATGGACAGAGATGTTGCTGCGGCAGCTCTCCTGCCAAGCTCAGGGGCCCGAGGCCCGAGGGATGCTTCTGGGCAAAGCTTCACTGGCATAGGAGTTACATACTTCCTTAGATCACACCTTATGTCTTTGACAACAACATTTCATTCTAACACTATTGTAGAGATTTAATTGGAGGTATTTCGGGGGGTTTATAGTCACCTGAGGAAGAAGTGTGGCTTTTTGAGACTGGCCAGCACAGCAAGATGCTTCTCCTGGATTGTCTCTGTAGTTATGGAGATGGGAAAATTAATATAGCTCATGTTCTTCCACCTGGTTTATAAACTGCTTATGATCTCATCATGGCAAATAACTTCCAAGGCACACCACATGGTCCTGTGCATTTTGAGGCCTAGGAAACATATATGTATCTCGATGCGAGTTCTAGGAGGTCCGTATGGATATGGTAATGAAACAAGCACGACTTATTTTCCTGAGATTTTATGTTTACAGAGGTCTTGGCCATGGTACCAGTGTAAGCCTGAAAGGGTGCCCGGGTATGAGATGATCCCCTCTCCATTGTGGTGATAGAGAAATCAATGCTCAAGTGTTGATGTGACCAGCTGTGCAGTGGCAGACACAGGGCTCAGACTTAGCTCTTTTTATTCTAAGCAAGTGCCTTTTTCCATTAAGCAGACCAATTGGATGGTCCTTTGGAGAACTTGGATGGTTATAACTAAGTAAACCAGTAGCATCCAAGTGAAGAGCACCACATCATTGGGGGCATAGAACTTTGTCAGGGAGACAGTGATACAACTTGGGTTAGATTCCTGGCTCCATCACTGACTTCTCCTGAGATTCTAATGTCCAATCCAGTATTCTCCAATGATATTCTTAGATGAAAGCAACAAAGTCTATCTTAACCTTATACTTTTATTTTTCTGGTTTCAGAAGATATTTCAACCCTGTATGCCTTTTAAACCTAATAATTCCACTTAAACATTGTTTTATTTTACTAATGACCAGGGAAGCCACAGTATTCTGTAGATGTTCCTACCGTAACCACCAACTGGAGGAGTATTTTAAACTGTGTTTTGCAACTTCAAAATTCCATGAAATTAGGAATTAAGATTGTCAATCAAATATACTGGTTAATTATAAACTGTTCTATAACAAGATATTAGCTATCAAGAATTAAGGTACAATAAATGTGGTGAGTACTAAGAGCATATTATGCATTACTGAATACCTGATGCTGTCCCCCCACAGGGTTATCCAGGGAACCTCGTCATGCAGACCCTTGACTGCTGCCTTTTAATCACTGTGAATGCTAATGGTTTGAGTGACTAAAGGACTGACAGTAGCTGTAGATATTTCTAGCAGTGTAGACTCTGCCTGTCAGTAGAGTTTAAGAGATGCTATTTCCCATACTAATGAAATGATATCATATCATATTTGTCTTTCTCTTGAACCAGCGTGTTGTCTGTTTGTGTTTTCAGAAATATTCCTTTTTTGCACTCCTCACTGATGTCTTAGAGATTGAAATTAAAGACAAATTTGCCAAGAGCCGTCCCATTATCAAGCGCTTTCTGGGGAAACTGACCATCCCGGTTCAGAGGCTGCTGGAGCGACAGGCCATTGGGTAATCCACCCTTGCCATAAGGGGACTCGCTGAGATGTGCTTGTGCAGAGACATGTGACATGATCATGGTAGTCTAGGACTTTTCATACTGACAAGAAGGGTAACATCATTCTTTCAGAAACAAAAGTGCCGTGACTCTCATTAACATGCACTGGACAAAAAGTACTTTGTTTTGATTATATACCATTTTTCTTTGTCTTCTTTGGGGTGTCTTTGTCTTTTCCAGGATTAGCATTTCAGTATCAAATCTAATGTTTGATTGTTTTTTTAGTATATTGACATCTTGTCCTCTTCCTAGAGCAGAAATCTAGTGTCCAGGTTGATGCCCACCTTATCTCCATTAGTTCCATCTGGAGAACTTGTTATTTTTGAAAAACAAAAACAATCTTGTTTGGAGTCATTTAAAACAAGACCTGGACTCTGCAGAGTGTTAGAGCCAAGCTCCTGGACATGTACGTGCCTTCAGGCTGCTAAGATCCATGCCCCCACTGACTCTTGCAGTGGGACTAATGTCTGTTTTCCTCGCATACACTTTGTGCATGTTGTGAGTGGAGTAGTCAGGAAGTCATACTGAGGAGACAGAGAAGGACAGATGATGCACATGAATAGCATGGGCTACTTGAAGGCTGTGACCGGGTCATGGGACCCCGCTAGGCAGAGACGTGGGTTTCCTTCTGGGGCAGCATGGGGCAGTGTGGGAGAATAGAGGAGGCGACTTGACTGTCCCTTTAAGTATTTTCCTTATTAAGACAAAGTCATTTGCTTTAGAGTGAGTGTCACTCATGTGCAGGAAGGTGAAGCAGTTACATTTGATTCTGATAAGGAGACACTGAGTGAGACAGGACGGCTCTGCATAGGGGAGGCTGACAGCTCAAGCCTGGGTTCAAGGCGTGCAAAGACGGGGCAGGCCCAGGAGTGGGCACAATGCCTCTCCAGGGCACCTCTAGCTTCTCTAGTAACACCAGGCCCAGAGACAGGCCAAGACCCCTTCCTCTGCAAGCGGGGAGAGCTCAGCAGCCCCACCCCTCCACAGTGGGGCTGCTTGCCAAGCAGGTGTGGCCATGCCATGTCCTTGTGCTGCTCCCTTCTGAGACTTGGCTTCTGACCTTCCTGGGGCCAGCACAGGGGCCTCTGTGCTATGTTGGGAGGTGCGGAGGAGCAGTCCCTAGCTGTGCATGTTCTTTATAACAAGGGCACGCTATCATGACCCAGATTCTCCCTCCTTTCACACCCCAGTCAGAAAGAGCCCGGAACATGGACCTTTCATGGCTCCCTGCTGGCTTCAGAATATCTTCTTCCCAGTCACCCTCAGCAGGAGAGAGCAGACGGTGTCTTTGAGAAGGATCAGGCCAGGCATGGTGGCTCTCACCTGTAATCCCAGCACTTTGGGAGGCCAAGGCAGATGGATTGCTTGAACCCAAGAGTTCAAGACCAGCCTAGGCAATGTAACAAGGCTTCATCTCCACAAAAAAAAAAAAAATCAAAAAAGAAAAAGAAAGATCGTAAGGCTATACACTGTAGTACATTTCTGCTTTTACCGAGGATTCTCCTTACAAGACTTCCTTTCATCCCTGGGCTTATGCAAGCTTACATGTACAAATGAACATACTACACTGGACCACAATTCACCTTGAGCCTATTATTTCCCTTACTTTTGAGTCCAACAGTTTTCAGGGTGAGATATGGGATTGGAGGGCATCCTGCAGGAAGGAGGCTACAGCACTGGCACTTGAGGATCACAGCTCCTTTTCTCTCCCTTTCCCTCTCTCTCTCTCTCTCTCTCTCTCTCTCTCTCTCTCTCTCCCTCCCTCTCCCTCTCCCTCTCTCTCACTCTCTCTCTCTCTTTCTCTCTCTCTCTCTCATATTCTCTCTTCTCTTCTCTTTTCTCTCTCTCATATTCTCTCTTCTCTTCTCTCTCTCTCTCTCTCCCTCTCCCTCTCCCTCTCTCTCTCTTTCTCTCTCTCTCTTTCTCTCTCTCTCTCTTTCTCTCTCTCTCTCATATTCTCTCTTCTCTTCTCTTTTCTCTCTCTCATATTCTCTCTTCTCTCTCTCTCATATTCTCTTCTCTTCTCTTCTCTTCTCTCTCTCTCTCTCTCCCACTCCCTCTCCCTCTCTCTCACTCTCTCTCTCTCTCTCTCTCTCTCTTTCTCTCTCTCTCTCTCTCATATTCTCTCTTCTCTTTTCTCTCTCTCATATTCTCTCTTCTCTTCTCTCTCTCTCTCTCTCTCCCTCCCCCTCTCCCTCTCCCTCTCCCTCTCTCTTTCTCTCTCAGGGACCAAATGCTCAGCTACAGCCTTGGCCGGAGGCTTCCAGCAGACCATGTGAGCGGGTACCTCCAGTTCAGAGTGGAGGTGGCATCCTCTGCCCATGAAGGTGAGATGCCCGTGTAGGCATAGTGCCACAGGGATGCCTGTCACACCTCTCTCCATTGTCAGGCTGCTTTTGAACAAAACTGAGTTTGTGTCCTGTATCCTGAGTTTTTCTCAAAGTAGCAACCGCATGGTTACGGCTGCAGTTTTCTAAGCAGAGAGGAAGGCCAGTTGGGCCAAAGCTAACTCTGGGGGTGGATGCCTGCACTTAGGAGGCAGTCTCTAGAGCCCCAGCAGCACTAGGTGCATGGCCCCTCGCCAGATGCCCACAGGATCCTGTGCAGTGGTGGTGCCGGTGGGGGGCACCAACAGGTTGGGGCTGCTATCGGAAGGTCTCTCTGAACCCAACTGGTGCAAAGCCACAGGTTGTGAGATGGCCATGTGGTGATAACACTGTTTCCTCCTCAGATGCATCTCCAGAAGCTGTGGGCACCATCCTTGGGGTTGGGACCATGAATGGGGACCTAGGGAGCCCCTCAGATGACGAGGACCTGCCTGGGAGCCATCAGGATGGCCCGGCATGTGCCAACGGGCCCATGTCTGAGGACAGCACAGCCGAAGGGACGCCTAAGCACTCTCTTAGGACTAGCTCCACTCTGGAGATGGACACAGAGGAGCCAATCTCCATGTCCTCACGGGCCTCACCTCCCCGAGGATGCCAGGACTCGCTCAATGATTACTTAGATGCACTGGACCACAATGGTCACGCCAGGCCAGGAGCCACAGCCTGTCCCGAGAGGGCCGTGAGTGCCTCTCCCAAACTGAGGAGCAGTTTCCCCACTGATACGAGGCTCAATGCCATGCTTCACATTGATTCGGACGAAGAAGATCATGAGTTTCAGCCAGACCTGGGGTACCCATCCTCCCTGGAGGAGGAGGGAGGGCTGGTCATGTTTAGCAGGGCATCCAGAGCAGATGACCGGGGCCCCACATCACAAGCCAAGCCAGAGGACAACTCCGCTGAGGGTGAAGAGGCCTTTACTCATGAGGCTGCTTCCTTGGAAGACAAGCCAGAAAGTCTTCCTGAGCTGGTAGACGGCTCCTCACCCTTGGCCCCTGACCCTGACGAAGGCCAGGGAGGCCCAGAGTCTCAGCCCACCATCGACCAGGTCTGTGCTGACCCATGTGACTCCCAGGAGGCCGAGCAGTCCATGAACGGGCCGGACACTGGCATGTCCGACACGTCTGGGGGCAGCCGGAGGGCCATGAGTGAGGCTGAGTCCCTGGACCAGGGCTCCGAGCCCTCCCAGGTTTCCTCCGAGACTGAACCCAGCGACCCTGCCAGGACAGAGAGCGTGAGCGAAGCCAGCACGCGGCCTGAGGGGGAGAGTGACCTGGATGGGGCTGACAGTTCTTGCCAGGAGAGTGTGGCCACGCAGCTGTCCTCAGTGGAGACGCGCTGCTCCTCCCTGGAGAGTGCACGTTTCCCGGGCACCCCAGCCTTCTCCTCTCAAGAGGACGAGGAGGGCGCCTGTGCAGCTGAGCCCCCTGGTGGCCCTGCCCCCAGCTCACAGGACACTGTGTGCACCCCTGGCCCCCTGCCCACCTTGCAGGTGCCTAGCCAAGAGGAAGGGCCAGGGGCTGGGCCAGCGCCACGACCCGAGCAGGAGGAGCTGAGTGAGGTCTGGCAGCGGAGGGGCAGCCTGGAGGGGGCTGCTGCGGCTGAGCGTTCACCCCAGGAAGATGGCAACGCTCGTGTTGCCCAGGATGCCTGCGAGGGGGCTGCAGCCCAGGAGGAGGGCGCCACCGGAGGTAGGATGTGGGAGACACTGCTCCTGTTCCGGGCTCACCGTAGACACACTCTGTAGCTCCCCTGGGTGCAGACAGGACTGCAGGTTCTGGGCACCAGCAGTTAGAGAGGGGTGAGAGGGGACAGAGGTGAAGGAGAGACAGGGCAGGTCAGGAAAGGACGTGGAACAGAGGTGTGGGCCCTGCAGTCCTTCTCCCGGACCAGGCTGCAGTCCAGAGCCAAGACACAGGGACTTGCCAGTCCCACAGTCAGGAAGAGACACATGTTTTTTGCATCCAGATTGGCCTGAGTTCAAATTCAGTGTTTTTTAAAAAAGGATCTTCTGTTGCAGAAATGAGAGGCCTGCCCAACAGCCATCATCACACTTAGGAAGGAACTTCTTGTGGACCCTAGGTTTGTAGATTAAAACCAGAAGGCTGTGGCCTCAGCTTCAGCATCATCAGAGAGGTGGCCAGGAACCCCAAGGCACGTCTCCCTTAGAGAACTTCAGAACAGAAGCTTACATGTGCTTTGTGTCTGAAGTCATGTTTTGTCTTCTGCAGTACAAGAAACATCAACTGAGTTAGGGATGTGTCCTGACACTTGAAAGATAAGCTTCTTTAGTGTCTTAGGTTGCAAATTTGCCCATACAATTTGTATCACTGTAAGTTCCCTACATACAAACAAGTTCTGTTCCAAGAGCACTAAATCCAATTTGCTCATAAGTCAGCCTAGGTATCAACAAACACAATTGGCTATACAGTACCAGCTATATCACTGCTTTTGCACTTGCTTCTGGACATCCTGTGTTTGAAATAAAGATACTGTACTACTGTACTCTATATAGTACTATACCATCAAGTACACAAAAGCACAGCCACTTGTAAAGGATGCACACACGTGACAATGTATGCCAGACACGTGAACTTAACTGGACATGCAAACACACATTTGCATCTTTGAAAGTTTGCAACTTGAAGGTTCATAGCAGGGACTTACTGTATATCTCAGTGAATGTGACTCTCTAGAAAGATTCTTTTAAAAAGCCCTATTATAGATGCATTGAAAAGTCAAGGGGAAATTTCATATGCCTAACTAGCATAGACTTAGAAGTAGGAATGATTTTCCTCTTTTGTCATTTATTTTTCTAACAAGATTTCCCCTTTTGGTTCTTATTCCTTTTTGTTTTTGTTACCTTCCTTATCTTGTAGCCACTGTGTGGCCCTAAAGCACTGGGTCATGGCCAGGATAGAGGCCAGGGTGGGAGATGGGGGGATGCAAGAGGAGAAGGTGTGTACAGAAGACATTACTCCAGCAAGCTGTCTTCTAAGCAGTCACGCCATTCATTTTTTTCTTTTGTTTCCAGGCCTTCATATGGAAAATGAGATAAAAGAGAAAAGAGCCTAGCCTCAGGACTGATGTTAGGTTGATGTTTTGAACCAAGTCTGCCTTAACACTGAAAGGGAAGGCCGCACCTGGATAACGCCCTCCCTTTCATCCTAGGTTCGCAAGCCAACGGCCACCAGCCATTGCGATCGCTACCCTCAGTGCGCCAGGATGTCAGCCGATACCAGCGGGTGGATGAGGCCCTCCCACCAAGTGAGGACCGTCAACTCAAGGGCCCACCTTCATCACAGGGTGCACGGGTGACAGGCAAACCCACCCCATGTGTCTTGGGTTTTTTTGAGAGACGAGTTCTCGCTATGTTGCCCAGGCTGGTCTTGAACTCCTGGCCTCAAGTGATCCTCCTGCCTCAGCCTCCCTAAGTGCGGGATTATACCTGTGAGCCACCACACCTGGCCTACTCCATATATTTTTAAACTGCTGATGCTCATATGTGCAGGGTGAGCATTGTGGGCAGATTTGGAAAGCTGTTCCACGTGTAAAGATTCTTTGAGGACTGGTATTACACTCAGTGAAGGCTTAATGGCTGGTCCCAACAGATCCTGGAGTGGACTGGGAAGGGTCCTGGATTATGCACAAGGCATGTGTTATTAGTCCCAGGTTAAAGCATGTCCAAGAGGGAAGGCAGTGCTATGCTTGTGAGCCTCAAAAGTGACCTTAGCACCCCTTCCTAGCCCTTCTGTTGCCTCCCTGCTTTTAGACTGGGAGGCACGCATTGACAGCCATGGCAGAATCTTCTATGTGGATCACGTCAACAGAACCACGACGTGGCAGCGGCCAACAGCTCCCCCAGCCCCACAGGTGCTGCAGAGATCCAACTCCATCCAGCAAATGGAGCAGCTGAACCGGAGGTGAGGGTGGCGTTTTACTATCACTGGTCTCTTCTGGGCTCATCTTTACGTGGTGCAGAGTAGAAGACATGGTCTCTTTCATCTCTGGGTATCCTGTTATCACGATGTGACTGCTGCCTCTTTTGATGGGACTTCTCGATGAAAGCAGTAATACCCACACATACACACCTTTTTTGGAAACTAGAGGAGAAGTAGATAAGATGATCCCTTTAGCCAACCCGACACTGATTTTTAGTACAACAGAACATGTGTGTTTATCATTTGGAACCAAATATGTTTTCCAATCTCTAGAATCTTCATTTGTGAAATGTCTTTATTATCAACCTAAGCTTGTTAAATTTGTTGTTCTTTCTGAAGAACTAATTGCTGTGGACCACAAAGTTGATTTTATCCCATGACAATATAGAAATTTAGTTTTCTTTGGTTAAGGGCCACACAATTATTTTTTAGTGTTACTTATTTGTCAGGAAAATTTTCCAAAGACAATGGACAGAAGAAATGTAATGCAACGTAAATTCTTTAAACAACAGATGCCCTGGAAGGCAGGAAGTGGGGTGGGGCAGGAAATGGTTGAGACTGAGTAGACAAGGAAGAGCTCTGGCCTTGGGGAGCAACTGAGTCCCCCTTTCTAGAGGCTTCTGGAATGTAACTCTGGGTCATGATTTCAGATACCAGAGTATTCGCAGAACCATGACCAGCGAGCGGCCGGAGGAAAATGCCAGTGCCATGGATGGGACAGGGGATGAGGCTGACTTCCACCAAGCCAATGCCGGTAAGAGCCCTGGCCTTATCCATTTTTATAACCTCAGAAAAGTAGAAGAGAAATAAGTAATGGATCCCAACAAAAGAGGCTTTTTGTTTAGAGAACTTCTGATCTTTGATGAAATCTCATAATTGAACTCAAAACATAGAGCTCACCAGAAACCTCTTTTAATTCTCAACTTTTTATCAGTACTAAGAAACACAAAGCCAAATGGAATATAAAAAATTTTTTTAAATCTCTGTATCTGTGGGTTACAGATTAGAAAAAGAATCTGATCATTTAAAAATCTAAGGATGCATTAAAATGCTAATAATGGCCAGGCGTGATAGCTCATGCTTGTAATCCCAGCACTTTGGGAGGCTGAGGAGGGAGGATTGCTTGAGGCTAGGAATTCAAGACCAGCCTGGACAACATAGTGAAACCCCATCTCTACACTAAAAATTAAAAGAAAAAATGCTAATAGTGACTAGAAATATTGTTCAATTCCATGTGAGTGCCAAGAATAGTTGGATTTTATGTATACATGTATACAGCAAAGAAGTCTTGAGGGGATTAAGATGGTAGCAAGCAGCACAGATGTCCCTTGGTTCATGTGATATGTAAACTGACATGACAAGATAGGCTCCCAGCGTGCAGGAAGGTTCCCTGAAAGCCTCTGTGGTCTGCCCGCCTAGATTTCCGACGGGAGAACGTCCTGCCTCACTCTACCTCCAGGTCCAGGCTGACGCTGCTGCTGCAGTCTCCCCCCGTGAAGTTCCTCATCAGCCCTGAGTTCTTCCCTGTGCTGCATTCCAACCCTGTGAGTAGCCACCCTGTAGTCATGTGGGGAAAACAGCCGACAAAGGAGGTATCCTTGCGTGTGTGATCAGACTGAAGAAAAGCATGGTGAATGTTTCCGAGCACTCAGTGTGCTCCCAGCTCTGGGTTGGGTCCTCTGTGTTTTAACCCATTTAGTTTAAACTTTCTGAGTCCATCGGGTGCTACAATTAAGTGTTATAAGCCACACAGCTCGTAAACCATAGAAGTTCCTCACAGTTCTGAAGGCGGGAAAGGCCAAGGTCAAGGCACTGGCAGAGACCGGGTATGGTGAGGCCTGTCCTGGTTCACAGATGATTGTCTTCCCTGTGTCCTGATGTGATGAGAGGGGAAGGGGTCTCTTTTGAGCTTCTTTTATTTTTTATTTATTTCAATAACTTTAGGGAGTATGAATCGTTTTTGGTTACATGGTTGCGTTGTATAATGGTGCAGAAGTCTCAACTTTAAGCGTACCCACCACCCCCACCTGTGCACATTGTACCCGTAGGTGATTTTTCGTCCCTCTATCCCTTTGCCCTTTGCCCCTTCTGAGTCTCCTTGCCATTCTTACCATTCTCTGTGCCTTTGTAGATCCTTAGTTTAGCTTCCTCTTATAAGTGAGAAGGTGCAGTGCTGGGTTTTCTGTTCCAGTGTTAGTTCACTTAGGATGATGTTCTTCAATTCTATCCAAGTTGCTGCAAAAGACATTACTTCATTCTTTTTGATAGCAGAATAATATTCCAATCTATGGAATACTATATATGTATCACATTTTCATTATCCACTGATCAATTGATGAGCATTCAGGTTGATTCCACGTCTTTGCAATTGTGAATTGTGCAGTGGTGAAATGTGGGTGCAGGTGTCTTCTTTGTATAGCGACCTCTGTTCCTTTGAGTAGACACCTAGTAGTGGGGTTGATGGACCAAATGTTAGACCTGCTGTTAGTTCTTTGAGAAATCTTCATACTGATTTTCCATAGAGTCTCTACTAATTTATACTCCCATCAACAGTGTATGTGTTCCCTTTTCTCCACATCCATGTTAGCATCTGTTTTGTTTTTTGGTTTTTTTTAATAATGGCTGGGCCTCTTTTATAAGGCACTGCTTCCTAATCACCTCTCAGCTCACTCATTGCCCTACCCTCTAACACCACTGTATTGGTGACTAGGCTTCAATGTATGAATGTGGGGGAACACAAGCATCCAGACCAAGCAGGAGCGTGACCCCTAGGGCTGAGGGAGTGCCTCATAAAGATGTTAGAGGAAGGCTGAGAGGGGTTTAGAATGAGGATCCGTTGGCTGTAGAACCAGCTTCAGGTCACGACATGGGTCAAGGGAGCCTGACTAGGAGGATATAGAGAAGCAGGGTTCAGATGAGAGGACTCACGGCAAAGCTGATGAGACTCAGTGGGTAAATAGGTAGAACAGAGATTGAAGGGCACTAGTGGAGTCAGATGGAGACTGAATCGTAGACAGAGTCAGACTGCATGAACTGGAGGTCATGTGCGGGATGGTTCCAGAGGGTGATGGCTTGTGTCCAGGCAAAGAGTGGCTGATGTTCAGAGTTGTTACCACACGTAGAATGGACCACATTGCTGTGGGAAGAGCCCTGGGCTTGGGATTGGACAGCACAAACTCCCTTGGTGTTGATTCATTCATTCATGAATTTGTTCATCCCATATATTTATTACATGCCCGGGACTTGCCTTGGACATTCTAGACTCAGGGCAGCCTGGAACATGGTGACAGACTTGTGAATAAAGAGAACTTAGGCAGTGCACGTGGCATAAGCAACTGCATCAACCCCCGGGGCAGCATGATAGCAGGTGGAATCAGGGAGGCACTGTTGCAGGTCCTCCCTAGGCAAGGCAGCCATGTCCAGAGCTGGTAAGGCCAAGGAAAAGCAGAGGCTGGGGGGTGGGGCGCAGAAATGAGTTCGGGTAATAACAGTAAGTTCGGAGATGTGAGTAGGCCTGCGGGATGCAGGGCTTGTGTGACCTGGCAAGCCCCCTGCATGGGAGTAATATTGATTTTTTAAAAGTTTCTTCTTTTAAAGCTGAGAGTGGGTTTTGGAGGGCAAGGTTGGCATCAGGGCCAAGAGACTAGGCCCTGTGGTGAGACACAGAAGCTGACAGACTGGTGCAGCAGCAGTAGAGATGTGACAGGTGGATGCATGTGGGACATATTTGGAGAGAGCAGACGTTCTTGCTAATAGACTGGGGAATGGGAATAAGAGAAAAAAGGGCTTCAAGATGGAGCGGCTGACTGGATAGTAGTGTTCATGGGTTTTCTGGCAAATACTTAACCACTGGCTTTCTGGGGAAGAAGTATGAGCATATATTTGTGTGTGTGTACATGTGATTTATGTATGTGTGTGCATATATATATATTGCACATATTTATTTACCAACTATTTTACTGATGTAGAGGGTGTGTAGCATAAATTTTATAACTAAAAGTCAAATAGTCACTGAGTGCTCCTGTGAACTCTTGCTGAGCTTTTACATCAGCAGCCAGCCTGCTCTCCAAAACCCACTCTCAGCTTTAAAAGAAGAAACTTTTAAAAAATCACAGGGCCTAGTCTCTTGTCCCTGATGCCAACCTTGCCCTCCAAAACCCACTCTCAGCTTTAAAAGAAGAAACTTTTAAAAAATCAGTATTACTCCCATGCAGGGGGCTTGCCAGGTCACACAAGCCCTGCATCCCGCAGGCCTACTCAGCCTCAGTAGTAGCTGATGAGTGAGTGTGATTCCATGAGAGTGATCATGTTGTTCACGAGTGAGACAACAGTGACACAAGTGAGAATCTCTAGAGTTTCATGCCCTTGTCAGTAAAGGTCGGTGCCTTCCTTGATACACCCACCATCATGTTGGATTGTGGACATATGTGAGAGGAGACTAAAAAAAAAAGGTGGAATTATCTTTTGGAGGGTGGACACCTTGTAGTACAGGCTTCCCTTGCTAGTTAAGTATTCTAGGAACCCATTGGCCTCAGCTAGCGTTGTTGTGAGAGGCTGCATTCAGCTTCAGTGAAATTTTTTTTTTTTGAGCTGGAGTCTCACTCTGTCGCCCAGACTGGAGTGCAGTGGGCGCTCCCGGCCACCGCAGCCTCGACCCACTGGGCTCCGGCGATCCTTCCGTCTCAGCCTTCCAAGTAGCCGGAATTATAGGCATGCGCTACCACGCCCGGCTGATTTTTTGATTTATTGTAGAGATGAGGTCTCACTGCCCAGGCGGGTCTCAAACCCGCAGGCTCAGGCAATCCACTCACCTCAGCCTCCCAAAGGCGCGGGATTACAGGCTGAGCCACCGAGCCCGGCTTTCAGTGAAATTTTTTGTGGCAAGTAGATGACTGGTTCTTCCACCGTGACAATATACCTGCCTATACTGTGCTGAATGTTCAGCAGTTTTGACCAAAAACGGTGTGACACTTGTGCCCCACCATCCCTATTCACCTGATCTCTCCCAAGTGACTTTTTTTGTTTCCCTGAATTCAAAAAGTCCTCAAAGGGAAATGTTTTGCTGATGTGGAAGAGGTAAAACAAAAAATGGCAAGAAGCACTAAAAGGCATCAACATTCAAAAACTGTTTTGAGCAGTGGCAAAAGCATCTCGATTGGTGTATTGCTTCAAACGAAGAATACCTTGAAGGTGACTGAAGTTTAAACATGTAAGAATAAATACACAATTCTTTATAAATAAATTCCGGGTTTTTGGGGGTCCCCTCTTGTGTTTCCTCATTGTGTGTGTATATGTGCCATTCACAATGTAACAGTACAATATAAGCGTCATTTCATTTTCTCCATTCATTTCTTAAGTCTGGGGCCTTACCTTGAGAAAAAGGCAGCAAATATTTTCTGTAAAGGGCAGGAAAGTAAATATCTTAGGCTTTCCAACCAAGGACACCATGTAAATCAGTGGGTCTGGCTGCGCTCCAGGAAGACTTTGCAAACACAGCCAGCTGGCCCTCAGACCTAAAGGTTGCCTACCTCTAGTATAGGCAGCCTGCAGGACAAGAAGGCAAAAGCTCTGACTTTGCTTTTCCAGATTTCTATAGTGTTGACACTCTCATGAGGGCTAGTCTCAAGTTGCCAAAGAGCACAGCACAGAGCTCTCGTTTCTCTGGGGGCTACTCTCCCTTGTGCAAGTCCCTCAGCCCCGCAGTGCTGCAGGTAAAAGCTGAATTCAGGCACTGGGTTGTGGTACAAGGCTGTGATTTCTTACACCTAGTAGACTTTTAGAAATAAATGCATATTCCTGGTTTTCAGGCCTTAGAGATTCTGGTTCAGTAGGCCTGGAGTGGGTCCCAGCAGTCTGTTTTGTTTTGCTTTAGGCTTCTTAAGGGTCTCTGATGCAAGTGGTCTGTGCCTGTAACTTGGGAACTCCTAGTATAAAAAGATGTTGCATTAAATGACTTCACTGCCTTTGTTACAACTGTAACCCATCTGGACTTTTGACAAGTAACGTTTTAACAGTGTGAAAATACTACACAGTTTACAGGGTCTTTTGTTTTGTTTGTTTTGCCCCCTACTTATTTTGTTTTCATGTTGTTGTCATGTTTTCTTTTTTTTTTAGTTGGGCTTGATTTTAGAATTTCTTTTGCCTGACAGTCCATTTTGATTTCAAAGTATTCTTTCTAAAACATTTAAATATTTTTCTTCCTCTTTTCTGGACCACAGTTAGACTAGCTAAAAACACTGATCCATGCTGTGCATATCTACTTTTCTGTAAGATTTAAATTCTGAGAGTTTAGTCTGAGTACCCTGACTTATATATGGCAGACATTAAGGCCACTGGATTTGTCCTGCTTGAAGTCTCAAGACACGAATTAATGGAGATAATTAAGACAACTTTATCTAAAGGATACTGTTTGCTGGGCTTTTTTCTTTTTTCCTAGGTTAGCAGAAAATATTACAAAACAAACTTATTTGGTCCCCATCTTTTAAGATTTACTTATAGGTTTTTAAAAAATTGTTTATGATCTATAACTGTTTCAGTAGATTCC